TCGAATATGGCATAAAGTGAGGTGATGGTAGCTTGAAGTGAGAAGTCAACTGCCAGTTAATAGACTTTTTTGCCGTATGAGTATACGTTGCCCAGGGTGCACCACGTGGAGGTAAGTCTATCTCACACCCCGTTTTTACCTTAAGGTAATTTGGACATATTCCGTGAGATGTCGTACTGATTTCGTATATGAAAAGATTCTACCCATTTTGGAACTTTTCGTTTTAGAATTCAAGTTTTATTTTAAGTAATTGTTTGCCTAAGACTCCATCATGGAACATCTTTTCTATTACCCAAAACAGCTGTTGACAAAGGTGCACTATCTTCTCACTAAAGCATCTAGTTTTCGAACCTTTGTGCGCAATTACCTGGTGCGGGTGGAAGTATTTTAGGGTGGGATTTCCTTTCAAATTTCCCATTTTATTGCCTTTATTATTCATCTTAAATATCTATTTTTTTAACATTGTATTTTCTGTCTTCTGTGGTTTTTTTTTAAATCAGAGCTGGAAAGTTTGTAAAAATTAGAGGATTTCTTTAAGGTATTGGCAGGGCCAAATTGGGCTTATAGTTGCCGAATATGCTATTAGTTATTAAATGTCAAACAGAACTAGAAAAGTCGGCATCATTTGTCTGGGTATGACTTGGAAGTCACCTTTTTATATGCTGAATAATTTTCGATTTTATTCCCAATGCACTGGAGTATAAGTATACTGTGAACTGTTGGCCAGACTCTTAAGGGGTTTCCTTCTGACCAATCGGAATAAAGTAGTTCTTGATCCCAAATGTAGTACGTACACTTTCCAACTTCACGCTAGAGTACTGGATGGATTGCAGTGATATAAATTGCATCAGATTGGAGTAGAACAATGTGAATTCCTGATAATTGGGGAAAGATGACGAAGTAGCAGCAGTGTATAGGTGAATGGGGTATGAATTCACCACTCTGGACTGGCCGATGGGAATTCGGGCTGATGGGTGACGGAGTTAGTTATCTTCCCTTGAGCTGCCAGTTGCCGGAAGTGTCCAATCCCTTCCTTGATATATTTTGATCTCTCAGTACTAGAGGCCCAATTTAGATACCCAAATGTGGTCTCTCAGACAGAATTTATTTATAACAAATGGCAGGCGTTTGGATAGTTATCATTAGCCCTTTAGCTGACTTCGGGCTTCACAGAGTGAAGGAGGAACATGAAAGTGAAAAAAAGTGGAGAAAAAGTGATTCACAGATGTTAAGAGACAGAGGGGCACAAAGGCAGAGAAAAGGTGAGATGAGTACTGTAAAGTGGTTGATTATGACATACAGTGGGGTGATGATAGTGTGAAGTCAGAAGTCAACTGCCAGTTAATAGACTTTTTTGCCGTATGAGTATACGTTGCCCAGGGTGCACCACGTGGAGGTAAGTCTGTCGCGCGCCCCTCTCGGACAGAATAATTTTTAACTTACTTGCAGTGCTGAGTTGTATTGGGCCCTCAAAGAAAAGTAGAGAAACCAACTCAGTTTTGAAAATAATTAATAGAGCAGTTCTTTGTTTAAGTAAGGCACTTCTTACATTGTGGTGCCACTAAGAAGTTTCTTCTCTTTCAGCATATTCTATCTGCCCATTCATTTCTGTGGAAAACAAGAGAGAGCGCAATAATTCTCTGGTACTTTGCCAACTTAAAAAGACTCCAGAATTGAATACTCGTTCAATCCAGTAGGTTCGATGCGTTACGATTATTCCATGGAGGAGTAATCATGCTTCTATAATCCATTTGCCTTCTAATCCAGGCCATTTCCAGCTATTACTACTGTGGCCATTCTGTTCAGTTAGTTGGTAGATTTGAATGCTTGTCGCAATCTATGTCATTGTCCTAGATGAATGTCTTTGTATTGATAATTTCTCTAACTAAGCATTGTACTGTATTGTTCTGTTATTGCCAAGTTCAACACAACAAAAGGAATTTATGCCTTCAAGTCTTACTTAATGTGTGAACTTTGAAGGCGCCTAATTTTCCAATTTCTTATAACCTTCCTAAGGCTAATTTTCATCGATCAATTTGTCTATTTTTCAACGAGGTCATGTTTACAATGTGTGGATTTTGCTAATTAATTTCCTCGGCTTAATGGCCCACCGCGTCTTTTTAATCCACTTAAAACTAGAGCATCCATAAGCAGGCGGGGGAACTCTCATGTCCATTTCAAACAGCCAGATCTCCCCGGTGTCTACCCATAATAACTCGGCTACAGTATGTAGGAATGTTGATGACCATGTGAATGAATTAATACATTAATTATTGAGTCCAAAATGCTTGTTAAGGGGACTTGGTAGTTCTGTAGGTAGGGAAGTGAGTTTTTCGCAACTGCTATTAGTGATCTGAACATGCACTACTGTGGTGATTCTTTGTCTTCTTTACTCTCAATTCTAGCTGGGCTCCGATTATTTTGCACATTCTTGGTGGTAATGATTTTCAAAATTTTGTTAGTATTGAACAGTGGGAATTAATAAGTGGAGTTTAGGGTTTTGCGTTCATGTATGTGCTTCCAGCTTGAGAACATCCTTGAACTTAGCCTCATGAAAACTCACAATTGTGAGTCAAGAATCGTGAAAATTTTGAAAATAAAAAATAACCTTAAATTAATTTGTGTCGATTGTACTGGTCTTGTGGGATCTTCCGATTGTGACTCCTAGTTGTTATTAGCAAATTGACGTGAGTTGGTATTCATGCCCAGAATATAACTCTTGAACACTTGGGTCCTTCAATCATACGTCTTCCTTGCTAGTATCTGTGAATTGCGTTTCCTAATTGGCTCACAGCTAACTTTCTCAATAAAACAATAAGAAAGTGAACAATCGGCATATTTTAATGACAAAGTAGTTTCACATTTGTTTCAACTTGGCCTAGCACCACAACATATCCACTATCGTTTTTATTTCTTCCTTGCGAAAAAAATATTAAAATTTTTTTAATTCACGTGAATATAAACCAAACTTTTGCTCATTTAAGACTGAGTAATGCATCTTAAGCTTCTTAAGTAGGTAAGCACCCTCTATTGGCAAAGAAGCATTCTTCTACCATGTTGACCAGCGTAGCTGAGTATGCATCGAATCGATTTCATGCCAATTCCTTTACAGAAGTGTCTGTTCTCTCTTCCAAAGTCTGCACAGTTACTTATCCTATTGAATTATGAAGAAATTAGTGATCATGTATGTTTCAAAATGGGGAGTGCGATAGACTTACCTCCACGTGGAGCACCCAGGGCAACATATTCTCATATGGCAAAAAAGTCTATAAACAGGCAGTTGACTTCTGACTTCAAATTGCCATCACCCCACTGTATGTCATATTCGACCCCTTCCGCAGTACTCACCTTACCTTTCCTCTGCCTTTTTGTCTGTCTCTGTTACATCTGTGAATCATTATTCTGTCCCCCCCTCTCGACATTTTGTCACTTTGATGTTCCTCCTCCTCTCTGCGAAGCCCGAAGTCAGCTAAATGGCTAATGATAACTATCAAAACGCCTGCCATTTGAAATAAATGTTTCAAACTTAACCTGTGTATTTGGTTTTTAGGATGTTCTACTTCCTGGGTNCATTCTTGCACTACCTGTGGAGAGAAAATCCTATATTTAACAATAGACTTACCTCCACGTGGTGCACCCTGAGCAACGTATATTCATACGGCAAAAAAGTCTATTAACCGGCAGTTGATTTCTCACTTCAAACTACCAACACCTCACTCTGTGCCATATTTGACTATTTCCACAGTACTCACCTCACCTTTTTTCTACTTTCGTGTTTGTCTCTTACATCTTTGAAATGCTCCTCTGTTCCCCCCTCTCGACTTTTTTTTCCAATTTGATGTTTCTCTTCCTCTCTGTGAATCCTGAAGTCAACTAAAGGGCTAATGATAACCATCAAGATGCCTGCCATTTGGTATAAATAAATGATTTAGCAAAGACATCATCCTTCAAAGTCTTTTATCTCGATGACTAGAAGTGTACTTGAATGTAGTTAACTGGGAAATTTGGGGGAAAAATAATCGTTCCCATTTTTTATCCCACTATTTCTGCTTTACAAAATCTACACTTAATGAAACAAGTTAAGCAGACAGACTCCAGGCAAGTTGCAAATTTAATTTTTAAACGTTTCTTTTCCTTGATAAAATCAAATCGGCAATTAATTTTTCTCAGCTAAAAATACCAAAGTGCATAAATAGGCCAAATGATTTATCGTCTATTACATAACTGCAAAAGGCCTTTTAATGCATATTGTAATTTATAGCCATTTGTAAATTTAAACAAGAGTTCCGTCTCGATGTCTAGAGGAGGAAGGGGGTATGTTTCAATGACTTATTCTGTCTTTTTTAATTGAAAAAAAAGAGTAAAAAGAACGCATTTATGTACCGAAATCATTGTCAACAAAATAGGTGTAAACCATGACTCAATAATTTTGAATTTTAAACAAAATGAATAAAACGTTATTAGAACCAAATCAATTTTAATCATATTCCAGTGTAGGGCTTTCCTTAAATCCCATTTATCATAAGACTAATAATAATAAGTCATGTAATGGCTTAATTAGTGACATTAACTGAAAATTAAGGGAATGCGTAGGAAAAACTTATAACTTGGCCTGATTTCTAGGTTAATCTGTGGTTAAATCGACGAAGATTGTGAGGTTTCTAAAGGCATTCTGCAGTTTTCTGTTGAAATGACCAAAAATCAGTCAATTCATTTTTAAGAAGAACCAAGAATCTATACATGGAACTCTACTTTAAATTTCACTTTATCGACAACGGGATATGCGATAGACTTACCTCCACGTGGAGCACCCTGGGCAATGTATACTCATACGCAAAAAAGTATATAAACAGGCAGTTAACTTCTGACCCACTGTATGTCGTATTCGACTACTTCCACAGTACTCACCTCACATTTTTTCTACCTTTGTGTCTGTCTCTTTAACATCTTTGAATCCCTCTTCTGTTCCCCTCTCGACTTTTTTCACTTTGATGTCCTTCCTCCTCTCTGTGAAGCCTGAAGTCAACTAAATGTGCAATGATAACCATCAAAACGCCTGCCATNGTCTGCACAGTTACTTATCCTATTGAATTATGAAGAAATTAGTGATCATGTATGTTTCAAAATGGGGAGTGCGATAGACTTACCTCCACGTGGAGCACCCAGGGCAACATATTCTCATATGGCAAAAAAGTCTATAAACAGGCAGTTGACTTCTGACTTCAAATTGCCATCACCCCACTGTATGTCATATTCGACCCCTTCCGCAGTACTCACCTTACCTTTCCTCTGCCTTTTTGTCTGTCTCTGTTACATCTGTGAATCATTATTCTGTCCCCCCCTCTCGACATTTTGTCACTTTGATGTTCCTCCTCCTCTCTGCGAAGCCCGAAGTCAGCTAAATGGCTAATGATAACTATCAAAACGCCTGCCATTTGAAATAAATGTTTCAAACTTAACCTGTGTATTTGGTTTTTAGGATGTTCTACTTCCTGGGTCATATAATCCCCGTGGCTATGCTCTTCCTCTTCCCTTATATCCTTCCCAGTGTAAGCCAAGAGCCTACTCAGCAAAAATCAGTGGTGGGTGTTTCCTACGAACTCAACTTGGATCCTGAATCTAAGGCTCCACTAGTAACAGCCACAACATCTCGCGATAAGGACCTGACTTCAGGGAAATTTGAGTAGATTTCTTTAAGTGCCCAAATCGACAACTCCTTCCCCTCCCCCGCCTTCTCACTTGCATATCACTCTAGCACTGCTTTTTGAAGGTGTTCAAACTATCATCTTTCTGTCTCCCTCCCCCCCCCCACTTTAGATGAAATTGTCCTTTTCTGTCAGCCAGCTACTACTTTTTCGCCTTCCAATTTTACGTTTTTACCTTACCTGTATCTTGTCGACGCGGTTGATTGAGGCTTTCTTTTCGTATGCACTCGGCGTACTTAAACAAATTATTTATTTAAATTAAAGTAATCTGACTTGCCATTTTTTTAATTGGTCTTGTCTTAATCTTACCTTAGACAAAGTGTATGGTACCTAAGCGTTTTAACCATTGGGAGGCTTCAGAACAACCGCATAGATAGTGGATTCGAAGCGTCAAGTGTCTCGCTTTGACGCAGTGATTATCTCCGAGTTCACTATATGGCATGTTGTTGTCGCAGGGCTTAATTTTCGTGATTGGGTTTAGCTCGACAACATTCAGAGCTCATCAACTAGTTAAGGGAATGGTTATCCCACCCCAATTCATCTGTTTCTTCGCACAACAGAGTGCAAAGCGGTAAAACCAATAGGAATATTCGTGTTAGGAGTTAATCGTTCCTTTCCTAAACCGCCTTGGGGGGTTTTCTACTTAAAGTCTCGTCTTTCAGTTTGGTTGAAGCAGCTCCAGAACTCGGAGTTCATAACTTCAAGGAAAGTCTACTGTTCGCCCGAACTAGCTCTTTCCTTCAGTATTTGAAACACTCAAGTGTTTTTTATGGTGTTCACAAGGCCATCTTAATTTATCGCAAGGCAGTCTATTGCGAAAATATGCCATTATGTCAAATTGAAAGAAATCATTTTGGGTGAACTCTATCTAACTCTACTAAGTTTAAAATGTCCTAGCCAATTTCATATACTTGTTCATGGTCATAAATAATAGAATGGCACACGTTTATTGGATAGTTGGATAAATAAGCTCTTTGCATCATGCACGTAAATTTGTCCTAACGATCTTGAAAAGAACTTTTGCCTAGGAAATTGCTTTAACTGGGGGACACTTGATGTAATGACATTTCGCGTGTTCAGATACTGTAATAATCCACCTCTCCAAGAGGACTTATGCATATTCCTCTTCCCGGGTACCTAAGTGTCTTGAGTGGAGTGTCGAGGTAAGGGTCTGCCCGTTATCGATTGATTAGCAGCCTTGATAAGGCCACAAAATCGATAACTTAGTGCAAGTGTTGGAGATTTTGGTCTTCTCATTGGTGAACCTTCCTAGCATTTATCTGAACAGAAATCTACACTCAACTTTTTAATGACAGTGATATTGATTGAATTAGAATGAGCCGCATCTTGATACTCTTTTGATAGAGAAAAGACATTTGTAAAGTGTAACCTTGATTCATTTCACTTATGATTTGCTGACATGATTCGCCTTAATTGGCACATCTAGGCGAGTGTGCAAGTGCAAATAAAAAAACAGGATTGTATTGGAATTCGTAACACCAGGATAAAGTAAATGCAAATTAAAACCCTATAAAAATCTCACATTGTCAAAACGCGCGTCTCAGAAGTATCAACTCAAATAAACACATGTACTCTCCAGCAAAATTCAGGCCCACGCATTCTACATTGTTCCGATAGTGCAGCTGTGTGATTTCGCATATTTCAAATAAACTTGTAGCGGATTGCTACCTTAGTAAAGCCTAATCGACTCAGAAATCTCTATGGCAGATCCTCCTACATCTGGCTAGATTCCCAGAACCAGCTAAGCTATAGCCCAGCTATAAAGAAAACAGACGTGCAACACGGAGCACGTTTATTCAGTACGAGTATTGCGGAAAAAGTGTACACGCAGGGAGCTTAATCATGATCAGGATGGCGGTTTAGGTTAAACAAACAGAGGTTAATGATTTGTCACTGTTTGCACGGTCGCACCCCCCAATCCTGGCGTGCAGGCATGCGATTACGTGTCCCACAAATCTCCTATGTTAACATGACTAGTTAAAAACATTTAACATCATTTGAGTTTATTGTTTAACAGGTCACTTGTTAATTGCTGAATATTTACTTCTATTTTCTGTGTTTCTACCAAATGGTTTCCGTTAATTTTGAAATGATTTTTTTCATTTCCTCAATTGGTCTTAATTACCTTGTGGCTTGAAGAAATAACATTTATAAATGACAGCTTATCTGTATTTGACTATTTCACCGCATTTGCTAGGGAATTCAATGATTCATTTAATGAAATTGATATGAAAGCGATTCCCTTTCAAAGGAACCCAGGGCTATCCAGTTACCGTTGAACTAATTTTGTCACATAATTGCTAAATTGAAGTCAAAAGTTGTACCAGAAATATGAATTGAACAGAGGGTAAGTCGACTTCAATAACTTTGCAGATAAAAGGTCGAAGGATTTCGGTAGTAGAAAAAACATTTCTCCATTACCAGATTTGACCAGAGAAAAAGACTACAGTTAAAATAGAACGATGTAGAATGTAGAACAATTTATACTACTTCGGGCAAATAAGTTATGGGTTAATTATACTTTCGGGTTTATGTTTTCGTCATTTCAGAAACTTTAGGTTCTCAAAGCGTGATTTTGAGAACTTGGAGGCGTTCAGTTGGAACTTAGCTTAGTAGATGCCAATTTCCAAAAGGCAAAAGTTTCATTTGACTCAAATCCACATGGTCGTAGCCAAAATAGGACACTCGAACTTCAACTATTTATATCTGCTCATTGGTTAATACGTCGAAGGGTAATTACTGATTGCAAATGGTTTTAAGAGTTCTAGACACTTAATGAGCTCTGTTAACCTAAAATTGCACTTGACTAAACGCTGGAACATCGAATAACTTCGCTTCCTCCAGTATTGGAGCTACAAGTGAATTGAAGCATCAAGACCAACCATTATGTTCCAACAATTCGCTCCTTAAGCCATGGACATCGTAGACAAGCACTTACTCCAACACGAGGAGCCAACTGTGGAAATCCAATTTTGGACAATTTTATCGCCTATCCAGTTATGAAGACCATATGCTCCAAGGTTTCCAAACACCTTGACGTTGCTTCTAGAATTCCTCCACTTCATCACTTGGTGGACCTTCCATTAACCAATTTCAGTTATTTCCAAAGCAAAAATTGTAAATCTCACTATTACCATTGGTAATAATAAGGAATTACAAAAAAGGAGTAAAATTATGAGCTGAAGAATAACGCATCAGGAAACAGTGAACTATTATGGCAGCCAATACGAATCAACAATTCAAAATGATGAGGTACTTTTGATGCTCAGATGTCGAAATAGTTTATTCCTCCTGCTTCACTTCTTATTGGACAAATTCACAATTACTAATGCTTCGATGTTGTGCAACAATATGAAAAATGGCAAGATTTTGGCTTTGCCACGGTGTTTAACAGAAATAAGATGAACTCCTGACACAAAGTCTCGAGATCCATTCACTGTCATAATCTTCAAATTACCAAACAAAAAACTAGCTCCCTTTCATTATTCACTGGAGCTATGGCACCAGGGACAAAACCCCACTTGTCATCCTAGGTTAGTCAAGAGATGAGCCATGCCCCACTGACTAGAAAGCCATCGAAATGCAGTTCAAAAATAAGGCCATCAAAAATTCTTCGCTTTAGGGGAAACATTGATTGTTAAAAAATAAAATCTTATTAACATCGACAGTCACTGACAGGTCTTGAAGTACATAAAATCCTCTTTGAGTTAAAATTCGTTTGACAAAGTCGTAGTTTTCACGCTCCATTCCCTGTCTGCCCCTCAGTTGGACCGTCAACAACCATTTCGTCGTCCGTCTAAAGGAGGAACAAAGAAGAGATGAAAAGACTTTATTAGGAAGAAAACAAGGCATCTTCGATGCCAATTCAATAAAACTACCCAAGTCCATCAGAAGTTCTTGCAACAGTTGGCTTGGGAAGAAGAGCCGTTCTAAGGAGAAGCACTCATTCATGACCAGAAAGCCCTCAATACTAACAGTAACTACAGTGAAATGATGAGTTCATTTGCAATCAATTAAAGTACCTCTATTCCCGTTAATTAAGTAACTCAATTCACTCAATTGAGGCAATGCGATTATATGGAGCTGAGTAAATCTCATCAAAACAATATATCACAGTGAAGGGTGCGCGATAGACTTACCTCCATGTGGTGCACTCTGGGCAACGTGTACTCATACGGCAAAAAGTCTATTAATCGGCAGTTACCTTCTCACTTCAAACCACCATCACCCACTGTATGTCATATTCCACCACTTCAACAGTACTCATCATACCTTTTCTACCATTGTCTCTAAAGCACTCTTCTGTTCCCACCCCCACCCCTATCGACTTTTTTTCACTTTGATGTTCCTTCTCCTCTTTGAAGCCTGAAGTCATATCACTTGTCAAATCAGAATCGTACATATGAACGCGTAGAGATTTCACTATAGAATTAA